CGGAGGGGCCACGAGAAAGGTACACCCAATATATCAGTGATCAATATGGTTTTCGGCCCCCTTGGCTCCCTCTGAGTCTCGTCTTGGGGCTCCGAAGAGCCCTCTTGTGGACCGCTCAAGTTCTCTTGGAGGCCTCCTGGGATTGCTCTTTGGACTTCCCGAAGAGCTCGGAGGGCTCCGAGAACAGCCAACACCAGATAGATCAGTGATCCATCTCTGGTTTTCGAAAAATCTTTGATTGGAGCTCTGAAGGACTGCTTCGCTGCCCGCTCGGACTCTCGGACGGTGGCTGGAGAGAGGAAGCCCGATCCGCCCCACTCCGCGTACCGCCCGCCCCCCCTTTTGCCCCGCACCCTGTGAGATCGCCGGCTGCCCAAGGGCACCAAACCCACCCGGCCCTGGCTTGTGCGACGTGCGCACCACTCCTTGGCCCGAGGATCAGCTTTGCGGAACGGAGCTTTCGTTGAACGGGCTCGGAGCCCGGCCTTTGACGATGTTCACTGGGTCATTTTGTGGAGAGAGCTCCGAGGCTTCCGGCAAAGGGCGGAAGACCTTTGTGGAACAAAACCCAACGCCTGAGGTTTCCGTGGAGGGAGGCCCAATGTGAAACGAACCTGGAGCCTGTGTGGAACACGCCCGAGGTCTTGGTGGAACGGAGCTTCTGTGGAACTGGCCTGGGGCCTTGGTGGAAAAGGCCCGGTGGAACAACCCTGAGGCTCAGTGGAACGAGCCCAAGGTCTTTGTGGAATAGCTCCTTGGACATGCTCTTCAGAAGCTCTTGCGAAAGTCCTCGGAGGGCGCAGGTCAGCGCAGGTCAGCGCGGGTCAGCGCAGAACCCTTCGCGCCAAACAGTACTGAGGCCGAGGGTTATCAGGGCGCTGGCTGACCTGCGCTGACCTGGGTCCGTGACATTTGAACGCCATCTCTGGGCGCAATGAAAACTTACGCTAAGAAGACTTAAATCACTGCAAAGGTTTTCTTAAACAATTGCCCAGGTCCAGATCTACGGCACTCGCACGGGAAAACGAAGCTCCAAGAGAACGCCCAGGGTCCAGGTCCAGATGTTTTTTTGTCACGAAATTGTCGAGTCCACGAACGTTGTGCTTGTTCTGAGATTTCTGACGGGTGTACTTGCTCTGTTTCGCGCAGTTGTTGCCCCCAGCCCAAAACCCTCGCACCTCGGAGGCCCGAGAAAACTGATCACGACATCGCGCCCGATCAAGACCCGAGCCGTCGAGAAGCCGACAGGTGGCCTCCCAAAAAGCGAGACGATACAAACATCTGGATCCTCGAACTTCGATCCGACCTCCGCTCAAGATGGGCCACTAAAGTTACGATGGTGCCCGTCCTGGCAAATCTTTCATCCCAGATAGACTTCTGACGGTCCTGGGACCCCAATCGGATGTCCAGATACCGCAAGCTGCAAGATAGTATTGCGCCGCATCGCCGATGCAGCGCTGCTGCATCGGCGACGTCAGCGTGGGGAAAACTGAGATCCAGCCACATCGAGCCACACCGCCGATGCATCGGCGACGCGGCGCGATCTGCCGACCTCACCCGCTTCGGCGCCGTGTGGGCGGCCTGGAGAAGCAGCATAATAGTAATAGTAAGAATAATACGATTAATAATGACATTAGTACTACTACTACTACTACTACTACTACTACTACTACTACTACTACTACTACTACTACTACTACTACTACTACTACTACTACTACTACTACTACTACTACTACTACTACTACTACTACTACTACGGGTTGCACCTGGTCTTCGTGTCGCTACAAACCTCACCTTCGTGTACTCTTCTTTTGTATCAGGCCTAATAGAACTCCTACCAGGGGAATTACGAAAACCGTAGTTTCAAACCTGGCCTTCGTGTCTTTCGCGCCAATGCCTACCTTCGTGCACTATTCGCTGTAGAGGCTGTAGATTGGATTCGTATTAGAAAGTGAACAAAAAACGACAGTTTTACACCTGTCCTTCGTGTCGACGTCGGATTTGGAGCAACCGCCACTGCCAGCCGCTTCATTTCGGCACAACCCTCTCGAGGATCGTGGGCCTGGCCCTCCGACGCGCGATTCCGGCGCGCACTTCACTAGGATCGTGGCCCTGGTCCAAGTGGGAGCGCTGCCGAAGGCCCACCGACGTCCAATTCCGGCACGCCGCTCACGAGGATCGTGTCCTGGCCCACCTGGGAGCGCTGCCGACGGCCCACCGATGAGCAATATCGGCGCACCCCTCACACGGATCGTAGACCTCGCCACATTTGGATCGCCGCCCGACGCTGAAGTTCGGCACACCTCTCACATGGATCGTGGCCCTGGCCCAATGTGGAGCGCTGCCGACGGCCCACCGACGCCCAATGCCGGAACACCCCTCACGAGGATCGTGGCCCTCTGGTCCACTTGAGAGTGGGTTTTCATAAGGACGTCGTTCTGGTTTTATTCGGGAAGGCATTTTGGTTTTATTCGTTTCTGGTTCGTGATGGTTAGGAGGAGGAGGAGGAGGAGGAGGAGGAGGAGGAGGAGGAGGAGGAGGAGGAGGAGGAGGAGGAGGAGGAGGAGGAGGGGGAGGAGGAGGAGGAGGGGGAGGAGGAGGATGAGGAGGAGAGGAGGGAGGGGGAGGAGGAGGAGGAGGAGGAGGAGGTAGGAGGAGGAGGGAGGAGGAGGAGGGAGGAGGAGGGAGGGAGGAGGAGGAGGAGGAGGAGGAGGAGGAGGAGGAGGAGGAGGAGGAGGGGGAGGAGGGAGAGGAGGAGGAGGAGGAGGAGGAAGGAGGAAGAGGAGGAGGAGGAGGAGGAGGAGGAGAGAGGAGGAGGCGGAGGGGGAGAGGAGGAGAGGAGAAGAGAGGAGGAGGAGGAGGAGTGGGGGACGGAGGAGGAGAGGAGGAGGAGAGGAGGAGGAGAGGAGGAGGAGGAGGAGGAGGAGGGGGGGAGGAGGATGAGGAGGAGGAGGATGAGGAAGAGGAAAGCGAACAGGAAACGAGGAACGTTTTTGGCTCGGTTTCCACAATGGGTTTGCGAACCTCACCTTCGTGTACTATTGGTTCTATAGCCCCTGTATTGTTTTCTTACGAGCCAACGGCGAAATTGTGGGTTTCCGAACCCCTTCTTCGTGTACTATTAGAAGCAGTGGGCTTCCGAACGTCATTTTCGTGTACTATTAGCTCTATAGCCCCCTGTATTGTTTTCCTATCAGCGAATGGCGAAATTGTGGGTTTCCGAACTCCTGCTTCGTGTAGATTAAACTCCGACTATTCTATGTTAAATATATTTGGTTTTAACTGATTGTGCGGAACCGAACCCGAACCCGAACCCGTACCCTTACCCTTACCCTTACCCTTACCCATTCATTCTCAGTAGACACGAAGGTGAGGTTTGACCCTACTACTACTACTACTACTACTACTACTACTACTACTACTACTACTACTACTACCACCACTACTACTACTACTACTACTACTACTACTACTACTACTACTACTACTACTACTACTACTACTACTACTACTACTACTACTCATACTAATAATAATACTACTAATAATAATAATAAACGTGAAAGTGAGAAGAAACATAATATGAAGAAGAAACACAAATTGTTGGCGCCGCGGCCACACGCGCAGCGATGCAGCGGAGGCAGGCAGGGAGCCGACGAGGGCTCGAACGCCGAGGAGTGGCGGCCGCGGAGGGCTCACCCATTTAGGGAACCGCGCCCGGACCCCCGAAGTCATGATCTTTTCGCAACGGCGATGCGGAGAGGTCTCGACCAATGCCACGGGACAGGGTCATCGTCCTAAGTCCTTCTTTGGACGGCGCCAACGGCCCAGCGAGGCCCACAGAGGCTCAACATCGCGACAAGCCCGCCGCCGTGATTTTTGCCGCGACGCGAAGGGGTCTGGGTGCACAGGGTTCACTCACTTATACATGGAGATCCGACGTTGCGAAAAAATGCAGCATCGCGACAAACTCGACCAAAGCCCTAAACCCCATCTTCTTTGTCGAGCCGGATCGATCTGTGATGGCCTTGGGGCCAGGAACCAGGCGAATTCGCCCGATCTCAAAAAATTACAACGCCAAGATCTCAAGGTAGGAGCCACCGGGCCACCGTTCGGGACTCCTGTAGTGCATCCTGCGCGGCCTGCTGAACGTCGGCGGCGCGCCTGGGGGGGAAGCGAGAGGGGGCAAGCCGTCTCAGAAGGCGGCGGGGCTTCTCCGAAGCCCTCCGGCCTTCTGAGAAACCATCTATATGCCTTCGGGAAAATCTCAGGAAAGTCTTCAGAAGGCCCGAGGCCTTCCGAGCCCTCTCAGAAGGCCCGCCTCCTCTGCTTTCCCTCCTGGGCTCGCCGTCGAGAAGGGCGCCTCCTGGAGCCCCTGCGCTCATGTCGGGGCTCGAGCAGCTCCTGAAACCAGCCTTAAGAAACACCCCGACAAGTGAGGCCATGTAGTAAACGCACCCGAGGAAGGGATCGAACAGGGCAGGGCTGCCCAGTAAACGCCCTGGGCTGCCTCGCAAACGCCACTTGTAGAGGCCTCCCGAAAGGGGCCCGAGCAGACGGGGTCGGAGGATCGCACCGCATCGCCGATGCATCACCATGCGTCGGCGATGCATCGGCGATGCATCGGCGACGTCGGCGTGGAGAGCACTGGGCTCCACGTTGAGCCGCATCGTCGATGCATTGGCAATGCGGAGCAAGGCTCCGGCCCGATCTGGGGGGCCTGGCTGACCGCACTAAAATAAAAATGACAGAAATCTATGTACAGTCGGGCCGTTGAAAGAAGGAATGCTAAATAAGGAACGAAGCCCCTTCTTGGCCCTGTAGGCGCCTCCGTGCCCCAGGAGGGCAAGAGGAACAGCACTGCAGGAACCTAAGGAACATCGAGCCCCTTCCGAACCCAAACTGTTCCTTATTTCAGCGTATTGACTGTATAACAAAGCAGCAAGCCATCGAAAAACAAGAAAACAGCAACAAAGAGCAAACCAGCAGAAGAGAACTCCTGCGCGCGCTCGGGCCGCTGCTGCTCCTCGAGCCACCGGCGGGACTCCTCCAGGGCCTGCGACAGCTGCCCGCTCGACGCCGCGGCCGCAATGGTGTCCCGCACCTGCAGCGCCCAGGAGCGGGGGCGGGAGAGGGGGTCAGGAACTCGTGCACGGCTCGAGCTGGGGAGGAGGATGACCAGGAGGAAAAGGGGGAGGAGGAGGGGGAGGAGGAGGATCGAGGAGAGGGGGGGGGGCAGGGGGCGAGGGGAAGGAGGAGGATCGAGGGCGGAGGAGGAGATTGGGAGGGTGGAGCATAGAGGAGGATCGAAGAGGGTCGGGAAGGCGTACAAAGTCCAACGCAGATCTGGGTCCGTCAGATTTTGCAGGATCCTGCAAGATCCTGCGCGCTAGCTAGTCCAGGTCGAGGCAAGACTGGCTTTGCAGGATCCTACAAGATCCAGCGCTCTGGCGGACCTCCGTTTGCATTCCGTCTTAAAGCCCCCCAAAACAGAAGTGTGTGTCCGTCCTGGGAAGATGATCCTAGATTTCCCTGCTGGCGGTAATCTTTTGGCCGCCTGGGAAGCCCGAGTAGTACCACCACCACCACTGAGACCGGGATCATCATCCCTCTGGTGGTGGTGGTGATGATGGTGATGATGATGATGGTGGTGATGATGATGGTAATGCCGCTGATGCTGCTGATGGTGACGGTGACGACAATCATAAAGATGGTGATTCGGATGGTGATGCTGATGACGGTGGTGGTGGTGTTTTTTTTGGATTGGGGCCCCTGTATCACCCAGAGGTGAATGGCGACAAATCACTTCTGCCCCTGGTAATGACACTACACGCGCCGACGGGTGCGTGGACGCCTGTCGCCAACGCTCTCCCAACTCATGTTGTTCATGACGTTGTGGGTGCGAGAGGAGGCCATTTTCGCCAGAAGGTCTATCAAAGAAGAACCGGCCACAAGTTCCACTGTCGTTGAGGTCGTGCAGCCGAAGTAGATTGAGGCCGTCTTCCACTGATGCCAAATATCATCTTGCAACCAAATGGCAATCGAGCACCCTGCGCCGGCATGCTGCCCATTGAGGCTCCCGTCAAAGGAACCTCGCAAGTATATGGTCCTCCCTGCAGCCGGGAAGCGCCTCACAGCGAAGTCGTGGGACCAGCGCTCCGCTGGGATGGCTGCGCCTGTGGCCCAGAGGTCACGCAGTGCCCGCGTCGCCCGTCGCAGCGGGTGCCCCAGCCTCGGATTGAAACAGCACCACCTGCCGTTGATCCCATCGACCACGGCCTGGCTGTCGCCCAGAATGTCGATCATAAACCGAAAAGGGGGAGTCCTGCCCTGCCGGTCTAAACGTGGCCTCTGGCCTCCCCTGCACGATATGCGGGACGAAGGGCCTGGCCTGACGTTGCGCCGCTCGGCGCGCATCCCCAAGCACCCGTTGAGCACGACGTCGCTGCGTGTACTTCGTGCCGTTGAGCCCCGCCTCGTTCATGGCCCCGACGATGAACCCGTCCACGGACGTGCTCGAATCTTCTTGTCTGTCTCGTCGGCGCCACTCTGGTCCCACATTGCGGGGTAAGACATCTTCTCAGAGTGCCTGGCGCCGCCAACTGGCGCGATGAACGTCGATGGGCCCTGGCCTCGCCCGCTGCTCCGCCGAAGCCGCTCTGCGCTCGACCTCGTGCGCCCGCGCCGCTAAGGCGTCCAAGCGAAAGCATTTCACCATCTGCCAATCAGAATCGGGTAAGAACTCCAGAACTGTAGACAACCAGCGGCGAGAATGAGTATGCGGTGTCGGATCTTCTTTTCCAGCATCTTAGAGACGCCGCCGATCAGCTTATAAACTTGCGTCATAATCAAATATGTAATCACACGGTGCCCCGACCGTGTAAAAGCGCCCCTTGCCAAACAGGCGGCCCTGCCGAGACAAGGGGCACGCGTGCCAAGGATCATACAATCGCGGATGCGAGACAGACGGCAGATGGCAATGGCGCCAAGCACGCATGGTAGAGGGGCGCAGGGGAGGAGCGGGGGGAGGGCGCGCGGTCGGAATAAGGCGAGGGGGGCCCAGGGAAGGCGGGGGGCGCACGAGGGGGCATGCGCGGAAGCTCGGAGAGGGTGGGGGAAGCACGGGGGCCAGGGGAGGGGGGCGCAGGGGAGGAGCGGGGAGAGGGCGCACGATCGGAATAAGGGGAGGGGGCCCGGGGAAGGCGGGTGGAGCACGAGGGAGAAGGCGCGGAAGCCCAGAGAGGGTGGGGGCGCACAGGGAAGCACGGAGGCAAGGAGAGGGGGGCGCAGGGGAGGAGCGGGGGGAGGGCGCGCAAGGTCGGAATAAGGGGAGGGGGGCCCCGGGGAGGGCGGGGAAGCACGGGGGAGAAGCGCGAGGCCCGGGAAGAATGGGGGGAGCACCGGGGCAACGGGAGAGGGGCGCAGGGGAGGGGCGGGGGGAGGGCGCACGGTCGGAATAAGGGGAAGGGGGGGGAGGGCGGGGGGGGGCACGGAGGAGGGGAGCGGGGGGGGGGGGGTTCACGGTCGGAATAAGGGGAGGGGCGCTCGGGGACGGCGGGGGGGGGCACGGAGGAGAAGGCGCGGGGGCCCGGGGGGCGTGGAGGAAGCACGGGGGCAAGAGGAGATAAGCGCAAGGGAGGAGCGGTGGAGGGGGGCGCACGGTCGGAATAAGGAGAGCCCAATGGCTCCAAGACGCTTCTTTTATAATTTTGCGGTTTGTCATGATTATAGGTATGAATAATATGTTTATATGTATGGTTACTGGCGTCCTGTATAAACTTACTTACGTTCCGTTTAGTTGGAAAGTATGATGGAACATATCAACGTTAATTCATATGTGATTACATACATCTATATAAAATTATGTAAAATATGCATACACGTAGATGGTACATGTGTCTGTGTATGCATATGCGTATATATACACACATACATATATGTATATAGATGTGTGTATCTATATACATATATACATATATATATATATATGGACGTGAATGGTTCTGGGGGGCGGGGTACGTAAGACGACGAGTCCACACCCACCTCCCCAGAGTGTTGGAGATTTCCCCGAACAGATCGGGGAAATCTCCAACTACCCGACGAACGCGACGTCGACGTCGACGACGACGAGGACGACGACGACGCGGTTTTTTCCAAATGGATTTGAAAGGGAAAAAAAGCGGAGGGCGACGACGACGACGACGAGAACGACGACGACCACCACGACCACGTCGACGACGACCACCACGACAACGACGACGACCACCACCACCAACAACACGACGACGTTCTTAACTGAAAAGCGGGCCCTGGGAAGCTTTAAAATGATCCCATCAGGGGTTGGCGGAAACATGAAGTACCGTTACTTGTTGTTCCTCGAAGACTGGGGGGAACCCCTTTGAGATACTTACATTGTTTTCACTATCTGTGTAGGTTGACCAACATCCAAATGAACAATACACTTTCAGAAGATATGATTATTTCCGCATCTGTCTCGGCTCAAACCTTTCAGAGGCTTATTGGAGAGAGCTGTCCTCAGTATGTCGGCAGGGAAACCAGCCCGATCCCCTCGCCCCTGCACGTGCAATTTCGATGCCAGCGCGTTGGTTGAGACCTTGTCTACGTTCGCTGTTCTGAAGAAGCCTGGATTCGCTTGGGATGGCTCGGACTACGCTGCCCTCTCTAGGAATGCCCAGTGCGTTGCCGACTCGCTACGAAACCACTTTGGGCCCCTTCGGGAGATGCTGAAGATCTGTCCCAGCGGCTTCCCGTCCCGCCCGAAGCTTCGGGACGCGTTTCTGGAGACGAAGTTCAACATTCTTGGCCCCTCGGACCTTCCCGTCCACACCTGCTTCAAGTAGTCTTCGTCGGCGGCCGATGCGTGGCGCATCATGACACAGCACATCTACAACTTCCGCAAGATGGAGTTCACCAGCAAGCACGACGACGTTAACAAGCTCATCGGTATGATCAAGCTGCCAGACGGTGCGAAGGGCGACGTCGTTGGCGTTTTTGATGGAGTGGGCGGCGATGGCGACGCGGGTGCTGGCCCGACCGATATGGAAGCACTCACCGCGCACCAAGTCGGAGAGCTCTTCGATTTGGACATCGGCGGCGACGAGGTCATGGATGCCGATATGTTGTGCATCTCGTCAGAGGATGAAGTGGAAGAGACGGGTTTCGTGTGCAGGTGCCCTGCGTGCACTCGCGTTGGGCAGGCCGCCTGCCCGACCACGCCCAGCAGCATCTCGGGCACGCCTTTCGACATCCCGAACCCGAAACGCGGCGGCCAGAAGTCGGACACCTTGAAGATGAAGCCTTGCCACAGGCTTCGGGCCAAGACCACTGTGGCCGAGATGGACGTCAATGCGAAGGGCACCCCCATGAAGGGCAAGAGCGCCCGCGCCAAGAAGCGCGCGCGGAAGATGAAGAAGTTCGCCGGGGCCCTGAGGCGCAGGAAGATGGCTGGCAACGTCGAGGACGACAAAGAGATCGACCCCAAGAAGAAGGCAGGCAACGGCAGCAAGGCGTCCTCGGGCTCGTCTGCCGATGACAAGAAGGAGGACCAGGACATGCTCAAGCTCCCAGTTACGTTGGCCGTTCGCGCTGCGAGCGAGTCGAGGCCTGGCGAGGCCTACATCATGCAGAACTCCAAGACGCGCCGCTACGTCACAGGGCTGTCTGGCTCCAAGAACCCCAACTACCTCGATATCATGAACGAGCTGATGGCGAACATCAATGAGGGTAAAATCTGCACTAGGGTTGGAGCCAAGTCGTTTTTTGCTTGAAGCAACGCCAGCCGAGTAGAGGCAGCGCGACGCACTGCGCACGCTTCGAGCTTTCGGGGAATCTTCTAGACCCCTGCGCGCACTCTCACAACAAACCTATGTTTGTTCCAAACTTCTCGGGGTGCGGCGCTCGCAGAGGTAGTTTTGAAGTTGCGGGGCATGTGAGCCCCTTCAGATCTGACGCCTGCGTTTGTTGGCTGGGGATGCTGGCGGTCTCTAACAACTGATCCTCTCCAGCCATTCGTCTTGATGTCTCGCACCTCAGCTCTATGTTGATCCTACAACAATAACATAACAGAGCAAACAAAACAACTAGTAAACAATAACTAACTTGCTTCCACGTTCATGGGGTTCGAAAAGGGGCCGAGTATACATTTTGCCGTCCTTGGGATTCCCCATGTCCCCCCCCAGAAGCCTAAATCGAAATCATAAGGTTTTTAAATCATGTATTGTCCACGCCGGATGTAAACCTGAACATGCACAGCGGCGTCAACCGATACGCACAGAACAAATACTGCTACAACAATGAGACGTACCTGTACAAACCGAAAAATCCTTGTCCGTAGCCATTTGTTCCCAAGCCAAGTGCTCGACCGATCGTCCTCCAACGCCCCTGAGACCAGTCATGGCCGATAAGACTACTAAGGATTAGGCGAGCAGAGCGTCGGGCTTGGGCGGGGGTCGGACATCTCTGTTCCTGTGCCTTCTGACCGAAGGCGAGAAGGCTTGCAGGATCCATGTTTCAGGGCCTAAGGCCAGGAGGCAGCGTGCGACTGCGGCAAAGTCCATGGCCCAGCCAGTGTCTGTGCCACCTGCCGACGCGGCGGGCCAGCGTCCTGCCGATGAGAGAGCCCAGTCTGCTGCACCTGCACTGGAGGGAAGACGGATGAGGAGCCGACGGTTGCCTGCGAGACGCAGGGTGCCAGCGTGAAGCGCGAGACAAGCAGTGGGTCATGGCTCACCATTGACAAGAGCCTTTACAACTTGTTCCACTACAGGCGTAATCGGGATCCAGCTGTAGCGGAGGCCTGGGCGAATACATTCTCCAAGCAGCCCGAGGAGGAGCAGAGGAGGTTCGTGAACGACGTCATCAAGCACAAGCCCAAGCAGATGCCAACGGAGATCTTCATCGCGCGCAAGGAGTTGAGCAAGATTTCGGGCGACATCGACAGTGGCAAGTGGGTAACCTACAGGGAGGCCATCGAGAAGAAGGGCAAGGACGTGGTGGACGAGATGATCAGCTTCGGCAGCTTGCAGACACGGAGAATCAAGGGCCTACCACCAACCAGCCAGATCCAATTCCCATGCAACCAGGAGGTGGCCCTATGCGAGGAGCCATGGGAAAACAGGAACCGACGTGTCGAGTCGAGAGAGCTCGCGGCCACCGACGACACTGAGACTGCAGCTGGTGACGTCGAGACGTTCTGTTGCATGCTCTGCTGTTGAAGACGGGGACAGGGGGGAAGGCAAGCGAAAGGCTGTAAAGGCGTGCAACCAAGAATGCTCTGGCCGATATAGCTTCATGTTCTCCTTCACGTTGGCCACGATCCCCTGCGCTCGTCGAAGAGCCGCGTGGACGGCTTCGCGGGCTCGGGGCTCCGTGCTCCAACCGCCGATACCAACAGTCTGGACGCCAGTGCCGCACGCGAACCGCTTCGTGGCCTTCAGAAACTTGAGGGTGACGCCAGTAAGCGTGTTGGGGATGGCCAGAATATTCCCCTGGACGAACAATGTATCCAGCTTGGAGAGGAAAGCGGCGGCCCTGGATTGAACGCTGGCAGCGTCGGGGTTGCTCTTGTCTCCGGTGGCGACCCAGGAGTAATGCTCCGCGCTCAAGTCGGCCAGCAACCCCCCCAGGAGCAGGCGCGAACTGTTCTCGCCCCCGAGCCCTTCCAGAATCTGTCGGGCGAGAATGCGCCGATCTTTGTCCTTCCCCTGGGACTCCACTCCGAGCGCCTCGAACATGACTTCCCAGCGCCGACTTTCCCGTGCTGAGGGCCTCGCCCGACTGTTGAAACGCTGGGGGGCCCAGCCGAAGTTTTTGACGAACGCGGCGCCGTCTTCCACCAGCTGCTGCTCCCCGAGTGTGTTGCGGAGCACGGTGGAGGTAGTCAGGAACTTGGCCAGACTTGGCGGCTTCTTACCCGTTGCCAGCAGCTCGTCCGTGGTCGTTATTTCTCTCCTTTCATCGAATTGGCCAGAACCTCCTGGGACGAGTGAGACTCGTCCCACGCGTGAGACGCCAGCCCAGGGAACGTAGCTGTTGCAGCCAGGGGTACACTTAGATCCGCCCCATCGCTGCACCATGCCCGAGTCTCCTGTCGCACATGCTTGTGCAAGTCCCCGTCCAGCTCCCCGCCTGCCGCCTGGCACGCGCGACGGACGCGCTCCTCCAGTATGGAAGCCTTGCCGTCGCAGTCCATGCCCCGCGGGAACTCCCGCATCCCGATCATCCGATCCACGATCCAGGGCCCTCTGGGGCCCAGCTGTTCCAGCCAGCCTGCCTTGAGACCGTAGCTTGGGAGGAAGTCCAAAGCCTTCGGGATCGACCACAGCACGGTGCCAATTTCGACTTGGTACGTTCGGTCGAGGCCGTCCGCAGCCAAACGAAAAACAGCACCATGTTCGAGGATCCTCTGCGTGATGATCTTCTCGTGCTGAGCCACGGTGGTCACGAGCCTTCGACACTGCCGACTAGACTCCAAAACTTGGCGGTCGCCCCCAACGAACGCACCCCGCCACTCGTCGAAACTACTGAAGGAACTGGTTGTCTCCAACATTACACGGGTGGCGACCACTGCGCGGCAACCAGGGCGCTGGTCGGCGTTGTGGACGACGGCGGGCGCAGGCGCCACGGCTGTTGCAGCTGCTGCAGCTGATGCAGCCGTTGTGGGGAACACAGACACGGGGAGACCCTGGTGCGCACCTTCCGTCGAATCCGCTCTTTCCACGCCGCTTCTGCTGCCTGGTGCTCCTCGCACTGCGCATGGCGCACGAGGTTTTCCTTGCGTTGGAAACTCGCGGATCCCTGGCCTATGGTGGAATAGCAGCGAGCGCCCTTGAACGCCGAGCAGAACAAGCAGACTGCAAATCTACCACCTACGCAGCCTTTTCAAGTTTCACTCCTCAGTGTTACTGGATTCGTCGCAGACATCGAGGCGCTCCACTTCTCCTTGTTCTTCCAAAATTTGCAAGCGCCGCAGGTGGAGACGTGCTTTGGGTAGTCGTGGCTGGCGACGTGCTCCTCCAGGGTCATGGGCAACGAAGGCGGGAACTTCTCGACTACTTTGCTCGGGGCGGCCTTCGCCTTCGCTCTTGCAGCCGCGGCTGCCTCGCTGCTGGGGCCGCTGTCGACTTCGGAGCCGCTGTCGGAGCCGCCGTTGGAGCCGCTGTCCTCTTCGGAGCCCGCTGCGTCGGCAACTCCGCCGGCGCCGTCGGCGTCGGACCCTGCGTCAGCATCGGCGTCCGAGCTGTTGCAGCTGCCACGGTTTGGCGAAGCTGCCCTCGACGAGGCCGCCGAGGCCGCGCGGCTCGACGGGGCCGCTCTCGACGAGGCCGCACGGCTCGAAGAAGAAGCAGGGCTCGGGGAAGCATGGCTCGGGGAAATCAAAGGAGAGGGCGAGGCCGCAGGGCTCGGGGAAATCAAAGGAGAGGACGAGGCTGGAGGGCTCGGGGAAACCGCCCCAGCGGACGACGACATTATTTTGAGCCAAGTCCTACGGACCACAATGGTGACGATGGTGATGGTGATGGCGATGCTGATGGTATGGATGGTGATGATGATGATGATGATGATGATGGGGATGGTGATGATGGTATGGTGAGGGCGGTTGTGATGGTGATGATGGTGATGGTGATGATGGTGATTCTGGATGTGATGAGCACCACCATCATCACCATCACCATCGCCACCACCATCAGCACTACGATTTGATAACCACCATCATTACAATCGTCGTCGGCATCAGAACACAAAAACACTCGACCGACTCAACCTAATTAAATCCGCTTTAAATCAAGCCAGTGATTCTCTCCCGCCCCCATCCTACATTTCGCAGGGCCGACCTGCCATTGGAACCCGACTGTATTAGCTCTTCGCGGAAGCTGGAGTGTCCAGCGGGCCCCAGTGCTGCGCCTCGCCGCCGCGCCCCGAGCGATCCCCCATGCGCTGGAGTGCCCGGGGGGCTAACTCTCCCTCGTGGGCCGTGGCGAAGGAGAGCAGCCGGGAATGTCTACCCTGGCTCTTTGACGACGAGGCGAGGCGAAAAACCGACCTGTCGGAGTCGTCCCGACGGCGGCGGTCGCTCCTCGAGCGGCGCCGTCCGCCGCGTCTGCTGCGGCTGCGGGCGTGGCCCTGGCGCTCGCCCCAGCGCGCTCGTCCCCCAAGCGCCGCGGGCCCTCGCCGCGGTGGCCGCGGCTCCGGCTGCGAGGGCGCTCGCCCCCTGCGCGCTACTCCTGAGAGCGCCGCGGGTTTCCGTCGGTTTGGTCGCGGCCCTGCATGGCTGCGTAGGCGTTCGCCCCTGCTTTCGCCTTCGCCCTCGCGCCCCCTGGTCAGGTGGGCGCGGCGCGGGCGGCTCGGGCTCCGACCCGGCCAGCTGGCGGCGCCCCCGTGGCTCCCGAAGCTGAGGCGTTGCCAGTAGGGCGGGTCCCGCTCGCGCCCGGAGCTGCGCGCGCGGCCGGGGCTCCGGCCGCCGTCCCGCGCCCGGCCGCCAGCCTTGTCCCCGCCGCCCGGTTACGCCAGCTCGTCGCGCAGGGCGGCCAAGTCGGCGCCGACCTGCCTCCCCTGCGGGCGGGTGAGCTGAGGTCTCTGGCCGTCCCCCTTGAAGTCGTCCTTCTCCTTGTCCTTGTAGTCGCCCTTGCCGTTATCCTCGTCGCCCTCCTTGCCGTTGTCCCGGTCGTCCGCCCCGTCGTCCGTGGCCTTCCCGAGCGCGGCCTGGGCGCGGGCCGTAGCCTCCTTGAAGTCGTCGTCCTGGAGCCACTTCGCGGCCGCGAAATGGGGCCAGGCAGCCTTCGGGTTGAGCACTCGGCACCGGTCTGAAGGGCTGTCTGGGCGCCGGCCGCGGCGCTCCTCCCTGTCGTCCCCTTTGCCGGCGGTCTGCTGCCAGAGGCCCGGGTTTGGGTGGCCCTTTGTTCTTGAAGAGCCACCACGAGTAGTACTCGTCGCTCGCCGCCACGCACTCCGCCTCGAACAGGCGCTTCTTTGGGCCTGGGGCCTGGATCACGAGGATGACCATGCCCTGCGCCTTCCCGTTCTCGTCGTGCACCTGGCACTCCACGACGTCCCCGGGCCGCCACGGTACGGCGGCAACCTCGGGGTCGAAGCCTGGTGATGCCCCGCGGCTTCTGCAGCACCGTCCGGACTCGCCATGCCCGCAACCGCGAAACGCAAAACTGGCAAGTCAGCGGACGGCTCGATAGCAGAACACCCGAGTGCACACTCTTGAACAAATGACTGCGGCGCGCACGCGCGGTGGCAAGAGCTGGAAAGATAATGCTGTGTGGGTCATGCTTCGCTCCCCCACCCAAGTCAAGGCTATGCGGATGATGCTGGTGACGAGGATGATGAGAATGATGATGATGATGATGATGATGATGATGATGATGATGGTGATGATGATGATGGTGACGATGATGATGATGATGATGATGATGATGATGATGATGATGATGATGATGATGATGATGATGATGATGATGATGATGATGGTGGTATCAATAATACGCGTGGTGCTGGTGACAGTATTATCAAGGAGTGTGGTACTGATGATACGGACGGTGAAGATGATAGAGACGGTGGTGGTGTTGATGATGATGGCGGTGATGATGAGGAAGAAAATAATGATGGTGAAAATGGCGGCTGTGATGATGAAGATGATCATACTGCTGGTGATGCTGCTGGTGATGACGGTGATAATGACGATGGTGATGTTTGGATTTATGATGGAGATGAGGAAAGAGGAAAGTGCTTCTGTGGTCTGCAGGCTGTCACGTTGCTAGAGAAGGAGGATGAAAAAAAGGAGGATGAGAAGGGAGAATGGAGGCGTCGGGGGGGAAGAGCATGAGAAGAAGTGAGGGGGGAGGAGTTCTCCCCTCCTTCCTCCCCCCTCTTCCTTCCTCCTCCTCCCCCTCCCCCTCCTCATCCCCCAACAGCCTCCGCAATTACACAATATGAATACTACTCTCCTCTCTCCTCTGACTCTGACCAGAGTCCCCCGTCCTCTCCGCGTAATTGGTTTGCCTACGTGTTTGTTTGCAATCCGGTCGCTTCTGGTTCTTCCAAGATTGTGCTACCGCTGCAGCGCCGCCCTGATTTCCATGCTTCGGTGATTCAAAATCGTGCTCCCGCTGCAGCGCTGACCTCATTCCCGCACCTCTGGACGGCACCTGGCATTCGAAAACGCCCACATCACGCAAGCACGGTTGCGGAGGACATGGAGCCGGCATTCTGGACAGGCCAAGTCCTCTCGTAGACGGGTCACTTACCCTCTAAATCATCCAGTGCCATGCCACGGCATGCAATGCGATGCTGTGTTGTGCACCGCTGTGCAATGCCATGTTTTGCGTTGCCATGCTTTGTGGTGCCATGCTTCACTATGAAATGCCACGCCATGCCATGACATGCTATGCTTTGCCGTGCTCCTCTACGCCACGTTGTCCATCCATCGCGTCACCTCTTAGGATCATTGCCCCGCTCGACATCCGACCGCACGAATAGATAGGACATCCACGCCATGGTAAGGGATGCTTGCCCTCCCCTCCCCTCACCAGCACCCTCGAGGGCGCGCGCGGCGCCAAGGGTCTTCTGGGGACCCCGTCGGCCTGCTGCTTGATCCGCTCCGCGTCGGCCGCCTCCCCGTCGCACTCCTGCTCCCGCTCGACATTGGCGGGCGGGTCCTGGACGACTTCCCCGGGCTGGGTGGAGGGAGTTGCGGGGGCGCGCGGGGTTCGTGCCGTCTCCCCCAGCGGCTCCGCCCAAGGTTTGGAGGCAGCTTCTGGGAGGCCTTCGCAAGAAATATCAGGGACTACTACGCCCGACGAAGCTGCCATTAAGCCGAATTCGCCGATATTCAACCCCAAATTGGGCTGGATGAAACACAATGGAGCCCGAGTGCGATTCAACGAAATTCGATGTCATCATACCAGTATTCGACCGCGGATCTACAAACCTGGATGTATCAGACCTCCCAGGAATTGCATCCCAACCTTGGGTGGTCCGTACGCCATGCCTGATGCACGTCGACATGATCGTGGGGCGCTGGAAACGAACGCGCCCGCAACCGGGAACGGGCTTTTTCGCTGAAGGAGGCCTCACAATCTGCACGCGAATGGGCCTGTATCATGCCCCTTGGCGGCCCCCCCCGCCCGGGTCGGCAAAGGGGGGCAATGGTGTAGAAACCGTCCCAGTTTCTCAGAAGGCTTCTAAACAATTTCTGGGCCCTTTCCAGAAGGCCTGCCGTCTAAGACGCCCCCGGCCTTTTTAGAAGGTTTCCCCCTCTGGTGCCACTCCGTTGTGCGCGCTGTCAGAAGGTGATGGAGGAGGGGGAGGAGGAGGAGTAGGAGGAGGAAAAGGAGGAGGAGGAGGAGGAGGAGGAGGAGGAGGAGGAGGAGGAGGAGGAGGAGGAGGGGAGGAGGAAGGAGGAGGAGGAGGAGGAGGAGGAGGAGGAGGAGGAGGAGGGAGGAGGAGGAAGAAAAAAAGGAAGCGGAGGAGGAGCAAATGGCAGGCTCCGGAAACCCTGACCCCCTCCGCCAACCTTCCGCCAGCTTCTGCTGGCCGACCCGCCGCCGTTTTGTTTCCGCCGCCTTCCGCCGAAGAAGAGACAACCCTTTCGACCCTCGACGGCAAGGCCCTACTTGGAACGCCTCGAACAACGACAAGACCAGACCAGAGACCTCCTGGCACCCCTGGCACCGTGAACATATCGCGACGGGATGCTTCTAGCCGCCCTCGGCCTTTGGAGGCCGCTGCCTGGCCAACAGGGCCGTCACATAACGACTTTCGGGATGAAAGAGCTGGCCCCAGGAAGGGGGTCGAGGGGCGTCGGCGGCAGTGGGGAGTTTGCCGTGGGCCGCGGGGGGGGGGGGGGGGTCGTCGGGGTCGTCGGGGGTCTGGGGGTCTGAGGGCCGTCGCAGCAAAGAGCAAGGCTCGCCGGGCGCCAAGCGGGGCGGGCGGGGTCGTCGGCGCGGGCGGGGGCGAGGGCGGGGGGGCGGGGGGCGCCAGGGGCAGCAGGGCGGCCGCTCGCGCGGCGTCTGCCGCGTTCGCGCCGTCGCCGCGGCGGGCCGGGCCGCGAGCGCCCTGGCCGGGGCCTGCAACCAACAGAGCACGGCCTGCGCGTTCTTGTTGCGCAGGAGTAGCGAGTCGCTGGGCGTGCTCCGCCGCCGCGGGGGCGGGGTCTTCACCTGTGGCGTCAGCCGCGCGCTTCGCCAGGACGTCGAGCGCGCGGCGCGCCTCCTCGCGCTGGGCGCCGCCGTGCGCCTCCATCACCATGGGGGTGATGGTGGCGCCGGACGCGCTGCAACTGCGCGCCGTGTCGAGGAACTGGCGCTTCTGCTCCTCGCAGCGCTCGGCGGCGGCGCCCGGCGCGGCTGCCGGGGCTGCAGGGCGGTCGCCCCGCGGCCCGGAGGCGACCGCAAAGTCAAAGGCAGCCGGGGTGCCGTTGCGCCACAGGGGACGTGTAAGTCCGCTGGGCGTCGGCCGCTCTCGCTCGGCGCCGTTGGTGCCCGTCCCTGGCGGGCCCTCCCGCGTGGCTGCAGCGTGCCCGGCCGCTCGAACTCGGCGCCAGGGGAGCCGGCTGCCTGCGCGGCGAAGAAACGCCTCGTCGCGGAGTGCGTTGTGCCGCTGCACGAGGTCCCCGTCGCGGGGGCGCACCAACGCGCGGTCCCCGTTGACGCCCAGGATGCCGTTGCAGGCCGGGCAGATCGATGGCCTCCTCGCTCGTCAACTGCACCCGCGCGCGCCTCTGCCGGGCAATTTGCATCGGGCCGCAGGCTGGATAGGGTCACGGGCATGTCGGGGATCAGATTAAGAATGATGAAAATGGTTTTCTCATGGTTCTAGGCCGCTTGCGGGCCGTGCGGTGCTGAAGTTGAAAATGGTTCATGGTGGTTTTGAAAATGGCCGCGCGCGGGTTTCAAATAGTTTCGGCGTCAAAATAGCAGCTTGGCGCGCCCGCCATTGGAAGGTATGATTACGCGCAACGCGGCCTTCGCTCAGGGGTGCCAGGGCAAGTGGCGCTTGATCCTCCTTCCCGCTCTGCCCTGTAGTAGGCGGCACGAGCCAAGGGCGTTTGAGCCTTCTCCGTGCCTCTTAACACGCAGCCCGAGCTCGGCCTTTAAGCGCGCGGGTGTCTTTTGTTGGGCGAGTTGGAACTAGAGGTTGCGTCTCGAACCGAAAGAGCCAACATGTGTTGTCCCACCAATTACCGCTGCTACTGCACGCTGCTGGGGCCGCCGCCCACGACGGCATCCCCAGGTTCGCGCCGAGTCCGTCACATGTGAAACGCGCTGCGTTTGCAGGCTGGCCCGCGCCGAGTCCGCGGCACGTGAAGGGTTTGACAACTCGGCGCCGCGCCGAGCAAGCTATCGTGCCCCCCCGACCCTCCTCATCGGCAGAAGCAGGGGCGCGTGCAAAAGGGCACTTGTTTAAGTTGTTGTATTTTTTCAAGCTTGTGCCTAGCAGCTCCGCGAAAATACTGCAGCGCGCGCCTGTGCAGTCCATCCCTGTGTGTGTTGGGTAATTCGTTATTTTCCCTCCCCGCTCTGAGGTCGCCGCCCTGGGCGGCCGAATGACGAGAAACTTTGCTCAAACTTGCGCCGCAGGATGTGGAGTGAGAAGATATGGTACGATGCGGGATCGATTGCACATGTCTGCGGTAACTGAATATGCAACAAGGGGGCGATTTGGGGGGACTCGTGGCCCGTCAAAGGAGGAGGACCATGAACAGGAGCAACTGCAACAGGCGTGCGTCTAGGCGCGCGTGGCCCTGGCACTGCGTCAAAGAAAAACCGTGGTGACTATCATGATTATGGACGACCGGGGGGGGGGGGGCAGCTGCTTTGGCAGTGGCGGTGCGCGCCGCAGGCATCTGGATATCTGGACAAACCGCGGGTGCAGCTGCAGGAAGTTCTTCCTGCCCTCGCACTTCCGCTCGTTCGCCAGCGAGACCTCCCTGCTTGTTTTGCGTGCTCGGTCGCGCCCGTGTCTCATGTTGCCCACAGCCACCTGGCACTCCATCTGAGAAATGGCCCCGGCCATGTGTCTCTGGAAAACTGTGTATGGGTCCTTGTTGGTGAACAGCCTTGGGATCGAGGCGTGCGCCAACTTCAAACCTCGCTTTTCGCACTCCGCGAACGCCTCTTCCTGCACCATCAAGCGGCGGCCCAGACGCTTCTCGTCGGGCACCACGATCCGCTTGATGCCGCGCTTCTCGCACCTGTCCAGGAAGGCGGCCACGCCCGGCCTGGACAGGAACGGCGTTGAACCTGGGGAAGCAAACATGATGGACCCACGAACCCGGAAAGGGATATAGACATGTGGAGCATGGGCACGTTTTCACGATACCCAACGGGGCAACACCTCACGAAACATCCCACGAGACACCTCACGAAACATCCCACGAGACACCTCACGAAACATTCCGCGAGACACCTCACGAAACATTCCAGGAGACACCCCGCGAAACATTCCACGAGACACCCCACGAAACATTCCACGACGACAGGCAACCACTCAACCAAGGCGGTGTGGTCGTGCTGGGGAGTGGTCGTGCTGGGGTGTGGTCGTGCTGGGGGGTGGTCGTGCTGGGGGGTGGTCGTGCTGGGGGGGTGGTCGTGCTGGGGGGTGGTCGTGCTGGGGCGTGGTCGTGCTGGGGCGTGGTCGTGCTGGGGCGTGGTCGTGCTGGGGTGTGGTCGTGCTGGGGTGGGTCGTGCTGGGGTGTGGTCGTGCTGGCTGTCTTGCGTGCTGGGGGGGGTCGTGCTGGGGTGTGGTCGTGCTGGGGTGCTGGGGTGGGGTCGTGCTGGGGTGCGTGCTGGGCGTGGGGTGTGGGTCGTGCTGGGGCGTGGGGTGGGGTCGTGCTGGGGTGTGGTCGTGCGTGCTGGGGTGAGTGGTCGTGCTGGGGTGTGGGGTGCGTGCTGGGGGTGGTCGTGCTGGGGTGTGGTCGTGCTGGGGTGGTTGTGCTGGGGTGGTCGTGCTGGGGCGTGGTCGTGCTGGGGCGTGGTCGTGCTGGGTGTGGTCGTGCCGGGGTGTGGTCGTGCTGGGGTGTGGTCGTGCTGGGGTGTGGTCGTGCTGGGGTGTGGTCGCGCTGGGGCGTGGTCGTGCTGGGCGTGGTCGCGCTGGGGCGTGGTCATGCTGAGGGTGTGGTCGTGCTGAGGTGTCCCGCGCCCTGTGATTTATCGATCGGGATCTCAGAAACAAGCGTTTCGCCTGAGACATCCTCAAATTGTAATCGGCCGGCCTCCTTCGACCTCGATATTTATCAGGGAAAGAATCCGCCGGCCTCCTTCAAGTTGGGCACCGGGGACATGTTTACATACTAAAACAGAACCCTGGGCCTACGCCCTTTCCGGGAAAAAACATCGACGACAAATTCGGCGTGCGATTTTGCAGTACTTCGCCGCGGGGGCGGTGGAAACATGAAGGCGGGGGGGGGGCGCCTGCTGTAGCAATTGCGTTGCGTAGCGTCTGGCACGCTAACAAATCCAGGGTTTCGTACCGATGGGCGATGTTACCCTCGGAAGAGGACGCGACGCGCCGCATTCCTCATCCAATGCCCTTGCGGTGTGTGGGGGCGTTGTGGCCCCGCCGTCCTGGGGCGTTCTTCAGGACGAGCGTTTCCTTGGCGGTGGGGGGGGGGGTGCCCCTGGCCGCCTTCGTTATCTGTGCCTTCTGCCGCGGCGCGCTGGCGCC